CCAGGTAAGCACACAACTCCATGATCTCCCTGCTCTGCATGAAGCAAGGATGAACAGCATTCTCAGAAGTGCTAAGCACCGGGGTTGGGGACTTAGCTCAGTGGTAGAGTGCTTGCCTAGCAAGCACAAGGCCCTGGGTTAGGTCCTCAGCTCTGGGGAGGAAAAAAAAAAAGTGCTAAGTACCAATTGTTGGCAGAACAATAATTGTCTAATGAAAAGGATTTTGTTGTAAGCCCATTATAAGCAGCAGCCATTATATAAAATAAGGATGAGCAGTTGTGTGTCATGAATGCCTGATACTGGTGTGTGAGTCTTTAAGTCACTGTGTAAAAGGCCAACTCCAGATCACACAGTTTTGCCTCTTGAAATTCAGGCCATAGCTTTTAATTATTTTTTTTTTAGACCCTTGGATTTCATTTTCTGTTCTTCATATGGTTGTGTATATGAATGTTTTGGCATGTGTAAGCTGGAGATTGATGTCTGGAATCATTCTCCATCACTCCTTCCTCTTATTCATTGAGTTAGGGCCTTTAAATGAAATCCAGAGCTCTCTAATATGGCTAGCCTTACTAGCCAGCTTGTTCTGGGCCCTGGCTCCACCAGGCTAGATTATGGGCTAGCATACCCTCCAGCCCTTCTGTGTGACTCTTGTCTTCATGCTTGTGCTGAAGGAGCTGTAGCCAGTGAGCCATGTCCCCAGCCTGTTTTAATTCTTTCCTGCTTGGGTGTGATCTGCTATGTAAAGGGCAGTGGTGAGAGGAGCTTCTTATTCTTACATTTAACCTTTGGAGATGCCCTAAAATTATATGGCTAAATCTGGGGTCTACTGCCAGTTTGTAGAAGAAGCCTACTTTGGCTAAGGAAGTTGCCTTCTGTCTCTGATTTGTTGATTGTTTTCCTTTATAATGAATTAATAATGAATTTATCAAATACATCCTCCTTATGAAATAATCATGGGTTGTTTTTCTTTGCATATTAATTGGTTTTTGCTTGAAGTCACTCCTGTAATTTTAGAATAACCCTTCCTTGGCCATCTTGAAACTTTATATTAACATAAATTTTAACTGTATTTACTAATATGAAGACAGGATTCTTCATGTAGGCTGCAACATAAATTGATGGACAATTTTCTTAGGAATTGTACTGTTCTTGTGTGATCTTGTCTTTAAACCTCATAAAATATGTTGGGCTTACCTCCTTCTCTGTTTTATGAAATGCTTTATATACAGAAAGCAGTTCTTTTACCTTAAACACCTGATAAAACCATACTGTGAACCATCAGTCTAACTTCTTGGTGTAAGGAGATTTGAAAAAATGACTTCATTTGATCCATAGTTGCTGGTGTAGATTTTCTGTCATGAGCAGATATTGTCTGTTTAATCCAAGTTTTTGAAAAACGTATTGTTACAGTTCTGAATGTGGAGAACCCACAAATAGATAGAAGCTTTTAGGAATCGTTTTAACTTTTATGACTCAATCCTAGGATCTACCACCAGTGATTTTTTTCTTTTCTTTCTTCCTGCCTCCCCCTGCCCTTTTTTATGATGAAAACCAAAGTCAGAGTCTGATTCTTTTTTTTCATATATATATATATATATATATATATATATATGAAAATATATATATATATTTATGTTATATGAAAATATATATATATATTTATTAAGATATTAAGAGATTTTTCTATTCATTTTACATATCAACCACAGATTGATATTGAGGACAGATTCCCCTGTCCTCCCGTCCCCGAGCATTCCCCCATCCCACCCCCCATTCCCACCTCCTCCAAGACAAGCTCTCCCATGGGGAGTCAGCAAAGCCTGGTACATTCAGTTGAGGCAGGTCCAAGCCCCTCCCCACTGCACCAAGGCTGCGCAAAGTGTCCCAGCATAGGCACTAGGTTCCAAAACACTGGCTTTTGCACTAAGGACAGGTCCCTATCCCACTGCCTGGGTGCCTCCTAAACAGTTCAAGCTAAACAACTGCCTCGCTTATCCAGAGTGCCTAGTCCAGTGCCATGAGGGCTCTATTACTAACCCAAGGAGTATGGCTGCCTGTGATGATGAAGCCCTCTACCCCAATTAACCTGACCAAGATAACCTCCCTCGAATATGCCAGGTGATTCTAGATCTCATCAGTTTGACAGTTGAGAGTAACCATGGAAAGTAGGTTTCTTGTAGGCCCCACATGTAACTGGTCTTTGAATTTTGATCTACTCTGACAATCCTTCTGTGATTAAATCATGATTAGTATATTTAATTTATATACTTGGGTTAGTAAGGACCATAATTGTTATTATTTTCTATTTATTGATTTTGTTTTTTTCATCTGTCTATCTTTACAGCCTTTTGTGATTCTGTGTATTCTGTCCCCCTGGCCCCTTTCCTTTCCTTTTTTTTTTTTTTTTGGTAGGAAGGGAGGCACTGTTGAGACAGTATCTGCTGTGCAGCTCTAGGTGGACTCCAATTCATTATCCTCATGTGCCTAGGGCCATGGGAGTATATAGGAGGTGACAAATAGTATTTAACAAGTGGACCCACCAATGAATAAATAACTCTCTGATGGGGAGCCACACCTGGCAAGGCTGTGGAGTCACTGACCAGTTGTTCTGTCTAATTTCTCTCGTGTCACTACATTTCTTCCCTAATAACAGCTATGGATAGTCTCCCCACTACTTGTGTGTTTTCCTCGAGAAAATATTCCATCTTCTGGGCACACATATAGCTGTGGATAGTCAGAAAGATGATTTCTGTTTAAGCTGTATAATTCTGATGAATAGAAATAATACTAGAGTATTTTTCATAACTGACACAGGAAAGTAACAGTACTCTCAGTCACAAAGTCAGCCTTTTATACATTTTGCTAGACTTCAGAACAATTTCAAAACAGACTGGCTGCCTGCCTCTAGAGACAAATACACAAGGAGTCTGATTCTTACAAGTGTTCTACCACTGACCCACTCACCACCCTTACCCAAGTATTTTGGTGGTTAAGCACCTGAAGACCGACCTACATCTTGGGAATCAGGCTCCGCAATTGTTATTTACAAAGCAGAGTTGAACTCCTGTTGATAAGCCCTAGGTGTCCCTATCTTAGTCTCCCTTGCTGTTCCTGTGATAATACACCCTAACAAAAGCAACTTAAGGGGAAAAAAGGGTTTGTTTGGGCTCACCTTTCAAGGATACAGCCCATCATGAAGGGGGAGTCAAGGTAGAGGAAGCTTCAAGCAGCTGCTAACATCAAATTCACAATCAGGAGCACTGTGCACAGCTCCTTTCTCCATTTTATATAGCCCAGGCTCAAAGCCAGGGAATAGAAATAGCCCTGCCCACATTGGCGGGTCCTCCTACTTAACACAATGAAGGTAATTCTCCACAGGTGCCCAGAGGCTCTTCTCACAGGTGATTCTAGGTTCTGTCAGGTTGGCAATACCAACCTTCATACTCCATTTAGTTAATTTTGTACTTTAGACTTGTGTTTCTTAGCTTCAAAATAAATTACAAAGTAGTTAGTTGTGTGGGCTGTTACTTTTAAATGGGTAAGTTTTGAGGCTATATTTATTATAATCTGTATGTTTTACGCATCTGGGGGGGCAGGTATTCTTCCTGACGTGTCACTATATTGGCTTGTCCACAGGCTGCTAGCCCAGATGCTTTGTTGGGGTACCTTCCCCCATTTCTCTGTGACCTCACCTCTCATCAGAACTCAGGAAGGGTGGTACATCAGGTTGGACCCATTGAAGAGAAGATTTTATGGCAGTCCTTGTAGTCTCAGTCTCTTGTCTCCCTAAATTCCAATGACTCTTAAAAGAAGAGTGGGGACAATGAAAGGGAAAGCCTCGTGCATAGCCACAGAAGTGCCATCTGCTCTCCTTGTCCCCGGGTTGTGACTACAGCATCCTGATTTCCCTCCAGGGAGAGAAAGCACAGGGGCTTCTGGGGATCCAGGGTGTTGTGCAGAGGGCAGCCACACTGCAGCTCTGTCACACGTGTTTGAAATGTGTGTCCCGAACTGACTCATTTGTTTGACAGCTTTATTGACATTTCAAGTTCAGTAATCACTTGTGTATGAGTCTTTGGTTCTTCAGAGACTATGCCATTCAAAAATCTTACATTTCTTCTAATCAGTGATTCACCAAAGGGTTTGTAGTAATACCAGATTTAGCATAAGTCAATGTATACATCTGCCCATCTAGAAAATACACAGACTTAGTAGGTATTCCTGTAACATTTCCTAGTTACATGCTGCAGTGTTTCTCATTATGGTATTACTTATAGACCCAAGTCTGTATGTGAGTGTCTATATATATATAATCATGATATACATACATAAAGGCATGAATACAAATGCAGCATCTTCAAAGCATGTGTAGCTAATTTTAAATATTTAATATGATGATTGAGTGAACTGTTAAAGCAAGAATAAGTGGAATAAAATGGGGGAAATGACACATTTGTGTTTATCACATTTTTAAAACATAATTAAAAAATAATCTCTAAATGTTGACTTATCAGTGTAGGCCCTAGTTTTCATAATTAGAAAGTATAACAAAGAATGGCTTTACTAATTGGAACCTCAGTTTTGACAAGCCCTTATTTCCCTATTAAGATGGTTCCTGAAAGTACCACAAGAAGTTAATGAATCCCATGTTAATTACATTTGAACTCTTTTTTTTCTGGGGTAGTCAAATGAAAAAAAAAAAAAAAAACCTGAAACACAACACATTCAAAATGCTTTTTAGTAAATTGACCATTAGTGACAAAGTAAATATAATATATGGTAGTGTTATACATTAATGTGGTAAGAATCTGTAGCATTCAAACTGGAATTTACTAATTTTGAACATTGATTTGTCTTTTAAATTCATTTTGCTTCTGAAAATTCAAACACTAAAGTAATGTTTTATAAGTATTTCCTAATTGCCCAACTGAAATCTTCCCTGAAAAGATGTATTCTCAGCAACTAACAAGTGTGTGTCTTTTCTTCTCTCCTTTTGCTAGCCTCTTAGCAAGTACCCCGCTGTCTTCAATGACATTTCCTTCTGGCTGCCCTCCGAGAATTACACGGAGAACGATTTCTACGACATCGTCCGAACAGTCGGAGGAGACCTGGTGGAAAAGGTTGATCTTATAGACAAGTTTGAACACCCAAAGTAAGTGAAAAGCGTTCCGATTTTATCCCTTACCATCTCTGTGTGACCAATGGGACCTGGAGACTCACAACAGAGTTTCTCTGAAACCAAGTGTGCCAAGACACAATGTCTTCTGAATTTGTGCTGGAAGGGAGGCTGTATGTGAAAACTTGCGTCAGTCCTCTCAGAAGATTTCCTAAAATGCATCCTTGTCCTTTTCTGCCTTGGTGAAGGAAGTGCATGAAGCAGAATGTTTGAAAGGTCCTTTGTCAGAGAGGTGGTTTCTAGCCATACCACCCTCCAGGGGCAGAGTTGATGAGACGGGAAGAAAGTCAGGGAAGCACACCTTAGTGCACGTTTAGAAGTGACACAAGATCCACTGTGGGTCTTCATACTAACTGTGCTCCCACCAGCGTCTTCTCTGAGCCTGCTGTCTTGTGGGAAAGGCACATGTTAAATAAATCACCACACACTTGCAGTCTAATGAGCGAAAACACATTACCAATCAATCAAAGAGCTGGTGCCAGCTGGGGGATTGGATCAGCTCTTGAAGATATTGAAGGTAAGCAGATAAACATGGTGAGCAATGGCCTAGCAGTGCCTGCCTGTAATATCCCAGCTGCTCCAGGGACCAAGGCAGGAGGATTGCAAGTTCAAAGTCAGTTTGAGCTATAGAGTTTAGGTACTTAATGAGATCCTGTCCCAAATTTTAAAAAATAAAAAAAGGACTGAGGATGCAGCTCTGTGGTTGAGCATTTACCTAGCATGTGTGAGGTCCCAGGCTCAATCTCTAGCACCATGGAAAATACTCAGAAAAAAGTATGGTGAGCAGTCTAGGAATGGGAAAAGAACATTCCAGAAAGCAGACTTGAAAGCTAGGTGTAATAGCTCATGCCTATAATCATAGCACTTGGAAAACTGAGGCAAGAGGATTGCTTTGAGTTCAAAGATAGCCTGGGGTACAGAGTGAGACCCTGTCTCAAACTATTAAAAAAAAAAAAAAAAAAAAAACTACGTAAAACAAAAACAAAATAGAAATCAATAGAATCCTCTGTTAGTGGGACAGTGATGCATGCAAGATGCTGAAGGCAGCAAAGACATGTGACTAGAAGTTCTAGGGGGAAGTAAATGAGAAGAGGTGACTCTGAGGCAGAGATGTATCCACAGGATCAGGCAGGGCCAGAAGGTGCAAAACCTGAGACTTGGATTTTGCATTAGCTGTGATGGAAGCTTCAGAAGTTCGTGAGCAGGAAAGATGGAGAGATGCTCACTTTCCTGGCTCATCCTTCTGCAAAGTCCCTTCTTGACTCCCAGCTGTTGGAGACTTGGATGGTCACTGAATCTGGCCTCGAACCCCTCCCCACTTCCTGGTCTTCACACTTGTATCACACCCATTTCATTGCCCTTCCTCTCTACCCTGCTGAACATGTTCCCTCTTTCTGCTTCTTGTTTTGTTTTTTTAACTTCTTTTCCCAGATGAAAGTATTTGGTACTCTCATTTTCCGCTCTTGTCTCATTTCCCCCATTCTTTAGACATCCTCAAGTTCATTGTCAAGGGCAGTGTTTGCTCAGAGAGTAATGGATGCAGTTGTTGCTGGAGGGCTTCTCTCCAGGTTCCCCAAGCCCCGCAGTCCCACAATCCACTTATAAAATAAATCACTCAGATGCTTATATCACTTATAAACTGTATGGCCGTGGCAGGCTTCTTGCTAACTGTTCTTTTATCTTAAATTAACCCATTTTTATAAATCTATACCTTGCCACATGGCTAGTGGCTTACCAGAGTCTACATGCTGCTTGTCCTGGCGGTAGCTGCAATGTCCCTCCCCTCAGCCTTCCGCTTCCCAGAATTCTCCTCTCTCCTTGTTCTACCTACTTTCTGCCTGGCCACCTACTTCCTGCCTGGTCACTGGCCATCAGTGTTTTATTTATATAGAATGATATCCACAGCATTTCCCCTTTTTTTCTTTTTTTTAAAAAGTAAGGTTTTAACTTTAACATGGTAAAATTACATATAACAAAACAATTATTGAGCAAGAATAACAGTTACAATATTAAAGAAGATGTCCTATCTATCTTATATTTG